GAGACAATTAGAATGAGCTCCGTGAACAAAAGGAGCAGAAAAGTTGAACTGGAATTCAATCACCGATAATGAAACCTTACACAAGGAGCGAAGGTTGAACTGGTTTTTACAGATAGAAATTTTCTGTGAAACTGTTTCCTAATACACTGAAATTATGGACCAAACAAACTGAAAAACCTTTGTATCAGCGCCCAAAAGTACAGTCCGAAATTTAACGTGAGGGGTGGAATATCTGTGTTAGGGGCAACGCCCCTGTGTGTATTTGAAGGGAATATGAACAGTGAGCGGTACACAGATATTCTCGAGGGACATTTACTGCCATCTGCTCACGTGTTCTATGGACATTTTTGGATTTTCCAGCAGGACAACGACCCAAAACATCGTTCAAAGCATTCACAGGCCTGGTTTCGGACCCAAAATATGACATTATTAGATTGGCCAAGCTATAGCCCTGACCTAATTCCAATAGAAAATGTTTGGGGACTTATGAAGGAAAGTGTCAATAAGAAAAATCTGACAAATATTGCTGAAATGAAAGAAGAGGTGGTCCGATATTGGGACAGCATGGACCACGACTTTCTAAATTCTTTGATCAGTAGTATGCCCCGCCGCATTGAAGCCTACATTGCTGCCCATGGTGACTTGACAAAATACTCACTGTTCACCTGTCTTTGAATCTGGAGTTATGTTTTGCTAATATTCACATTTAATACGTGAGTAATGAGTGCAAAAAATAAAACAATTACAATCTTTAAATTCTCAATAATTTCTGGCTGTACTGTAACTGCCAGCTTACGTATATATACTCAGCAGCAATAAAAAACCGTCAGTACGAATTCAAAATTAGATAGGCACTGTAATCAAATCATTACAGAAATGGACAAAATAAGCGGATGAAAAACATTTTTGTGTACAATATCTTGACACATCAATGAATAACTCCTTGACTTCAGTATCTAGTGTGACCACCACGAGCGGAAATAACTGCAGCACAGCGTCGATGCATGGAGTGCACCAATCGATTGATGAAGGCCATGGGTACCTTGAACCACACTCTGAGAAAGGCCTGGCGCAATAAACCGGCTGTGTTCGGCCTTGGTATGACATTATTCAGTCTCCTCTGAATTTCATCCCAAAGATGTTCAATTGCGTTTAGATCAGGACTAAGGGCTGGCCACTGCATAATGTTGACACCGTTCTGCTGTAGGAAGTCCTGTGTAGCTCTGGCAGTATGGGCCCAGGCGTTATCATGCTGGAAAATGTTGTTCCGGTGACATGCGAAATGTGGTATGTCGTCGGGTCTGAGAGCTTGGTCGATGTAGCGCACCGCTGTGATGCCACCTCCTCTCCCTGGACCAAGGTTCTGGAACACCACAGGACCTACTCTCTGGTTCAGGCCTATTCCACTCCATACCATGATGCTTGCACCTCCCCATGAGTCTCTTTCCATAACACATTGGTCTGAGTAACGCTGGCCACGTCCTCGCCATATTCGTGTTCTTCCATCTGCAGTTGATACGCAGAACCGACTCTCATCTGTGAACAGAACAGTTCTCCATTGTCTGTATCGCCAGTTTTGGTGTTGTAGGGTAAACTGTAGACTTTCACGCCGATGACAAGGGGTGAGGATAGGTCCACGGTAAGATCTACGGCAATGGAGGTTCCCACTGATAAGACGTCGGCGTACTGTATCAGCACTGATTGGTCTTCCGTGTGTTCCCACTGTCTGGCGTGCTGTCTCGGATGCCTGCATGAAGGGTTTCTGTACATGCTGTCGCACGACATGGCGTCTTGTCGTCTTGTGGTCACCCTTGGTCTGCCAGTACGGGGGGCGATCATTTGTGGTGTTGGTGGCCCGGAAACGTTGCTGCAGCCTGTAGATGGTCCGATCTTTGACCTGGAAGTGATTGGCAACGGCTTGTGTAGTGTGGCCAGCTTCAAGTCTTCCTAGCGCCTGGTTCCTCTGAGCTGTCGTGAGTCCCGGCATCCTGCAGATGTTGTCAAAAATATGCAATCAAAACATTAAATTAGTTTACAGTTATCCGTTTCTGCGAAGGAAAATTCCAAACTGTCGTTTATTTTCTGCTTAGTATATATTCTAAGCTACCCACAATGTTGCTCCAAGTTTAATCAAGCCAAACTGGCGGGACCACGTACTTCTATATTCCATGTAATTGCAGTTGTCGTCCGGATAATATTACTCTTGACCTTGTAAGAACACAGCAAAAGAAACTGTCCAAAAACTCCGAAAGGATGTCTGGCCTTCTGCAGCCCTGACATGGCCAAACAATCTAAACTGGTTAACACGATACCAATTGTTTTTCGCCCCTGCAGTTAAGCTGTCAACATCTTGCAGACACTCAGGTGGCGTGTGCGTGTATGTGAGACAGGACATTGCAAACAAATGTGTTGAACTGAAGTCTGAAATCAACAATTTAGTGTGTTTGAAATTTCAGAGATCTTTGTTTTAATCTAGCAAATGACTTATTTCTTGTTTGTATATATGTTCCCCCTGTGAATTCTCCATTTTACGACCAAAGTACTGATTTAAGATGTCTCATTGAAAGACTGGAGTCGTTTTATTAGACAGCTGGTCTGATATGTCTACTTCGCACGTACTGCTACGTTGCGATTTTAATAATCGTACTAGTAATGAAAATAATCCTATTTGCGAAGATCGTGATGAATTTGGTAATGATGATGTCTATACAGATGTAGATAATGCTCATGTTGACCAGCGTGTGTCCCATGACAGTATCGTTAACTGATTTGGGCGTGTGTTACTGAATCTGTGTTATGTGTGTCGCTTGTTCATAACGTACGATAGAGTAGAAGGAGACAGAGGAGGAGAGAGTTTACATTTGTTGGAGAAAATGGCTCAAGTGTCGTTGATTATTTGCTTGCATCTGCTGATTTGTTTGAGTTCGTAGAAAAGTTAAATGTTGGTGACAGACCTGATTCTGACCATTTTCCTCTGGAGTTGTCGTTCAGGTTTCCTTGTACATACCGGTCTAACCGGACAGCTGATTGTGCTGAGAGTCCTAGTTTTAGTAACTTTGTATGGGATGCTTCTAAGCCGGATGAATTTATAACTTCTCTCAAAGAAAGTTTGGATGCCAATAAAGAGTCAATATTTAGTAAATAGGAGTGTATATTAGATTCGGCATCTTGTATGAGGAGATGGTTTAGACAAGGTGATCTAAATCGTAAACCCAAATTTAACAAGGAGTGTAATGTAGCTAGATCGGAATCCAGGAAGGCTCTTAGGCGGTTTAGGGGTTGTCGCACTGAGCAGACTCGTAGGAGCTATTGTAAAATTAGAAATAAGTATAAGAGTTCCTGTAGAGCAGTTAAGCTTGGAGTGCAAAACTCAAGGCTATGTCGACTAAATAGTACCCTCCACAGCCCAAGGCTATTTTGGCAAAATATTCACACCCTCAAGAGAGGCTCCCCACCCGTATCAAGTATATCACAAGCAGAATGGTTTTGCCACATCAGGGACTTGTTTTCTAAGGACGATATTATCTATGATGTACATGATGACACAATAGATACAGATAATGGATGTGACGAGTTTAGTGATGTTGATAAGTTTCTACTTAAGTCTCCTATTACAGAATTAGAAATAGTTCATGCTGTATCACGTCTTAAAGTTGGAAAGTCTGCTGGTGTGGATTTGGTGTTATTTCAGAGATGATCAAAACTGCCTTGCCTGAGATAATGCCGTTTCTAGTTAAAAGCTTTAATCGAATATTTGATTCCAGATGTTTTCCGTCTGAATGGGCTAAATCAATAATTGTTCCATTATTTAAGAATGGAAACATATATAACCCTAACAATTATTGTTCTCAGGGAGAACATAATTCGAACATTTTTCTGCTCATAGTGAGTGAGTGAGTTAAAATTTATAGTCACATCGGCCATATCGTGTTTCTTCTCATACATGTTGGACTTTTGGGATATCGAGATCCAAGCATTTGCATGTCATAAACATGTTCCGTCAAAACAAGCAAAGATGATTTCCTTATACGACATTAACACAAATACAGGGCACATCCAGAGCTAAAAATATGACGTGCATCCGTTTTTGCGATCGCATATTAGTTATAATGTATTAATGTGACAGTTGTCTTCTGCATTACAACGAAGGCAAAAGCAATTATTGAAGAATATACCAGATCGAAATTTAGCCTATCAATCAGGTTTATTGATACGCCACATAACAAAATACAAATAAAACAAATTCATTAGGCTTGACAGCAGGTGACAGAGTACTACAGCTGGGTATTATTTTACATGCGCTTCATAACACGCCCAGTAAATCAGGTGTGCCGTAGGAATCAGTGAACAGTTACACTGAATTTAGGGCGGTGGGACAGCCTAGTTGTTACACCGAAGACTCGGGTAGTAGAATGTGAGGCCTATTTCTGGTGTTATCCGCCGTGATGCTGCTTTAAGAATCCGATCCTCTAAGCAAATTTCTTCAGAAACAGTTGGGTTCTTGTTTAACGCCGCGCTCAGCAATATCACAGCTATATGGCGGCGGCCTGTAAATGATAGAGTCTGGACCAAACAATCATGTGACCAACAACATGAGCATGCATTTGGGATACGATGACATGTGTCAACCAAGTCAAGACAGCCTGACCGCTCGATCCCTTTAGTCGCTTCTTACGACAAGCATGGGTTACTGAAGACCAAATCTAACCCGGATCTTCACAGATCGGATCGGCGTACAACTAAACTCACTCACTCACTTATGTCAACAATTGACAAATAACAAATATTATTTTATCGCCGCTGTGATATAGTCGGAATTATAAAATGTGCCATGTTTTCCATGGAAATATTTCATATGTTATGTACAGATAAAGCGACATTAATAGTTTGCATTGTCATCCAAGCATTTTTAACCAGATACACACCCAGCCTGCCATGTCTATGTGTATTGAGCAAATGCTACTTCACACAGATTAGGATTTCTTTATATAACCATCCCATGTAATCTGAGTTACATTCAGGCCAGAATGTATCTTATCACGCTTGTGTCCGCACTGCTGTTCCGCCAGGGACTCTCGGACACCACAGTCACTATCTCCAACGAGTGGCTCTCCCAGGGTGGACGGGTCCATTATGAAGCTGACCGTTGGAATAAACATAACGGTCTGACAGAATCCAATCTGATTTCAAAGTGTAAAGCTATTGGAACTGCAAGTGGGCGCTGGATTAACAGAGACATAGACCTGTTCAGAAATGTATGTATCGCTTTTGTGTCAAGTTAACCCTTAAGTGCTTTATAATCGTACGTAATCGTGTGTTTAGTATTTCTTTAGCAATGCAATCAGCATCGTAGCCAACAGCGTCTATATTCCTGATATTAGTTCCTTTGAAGACACAGGGGTTGTTCAGAAATGTATGTGTCGCTTTTGTGAAACGGAAGTGTCTCGTGGATGTGAATTATAACTTATCATTTGTAGAAGTGGTTCTCTTTTCAATTATTGGTCTCGGTCTGGTGGTGTATGTTTTAATTGAACCGCTTGAAACGAACAGCATTTATTACAGTCTAAAATTAGTAATCAATTGGGTTCGATATATCCGTAGTTTATTTAATTGGGTTTAAAGAAAAGTGTAGTATTTCTTAAGCAATGCAATCAGCTTTCTAGCCACTGACGTCCTCACCTACCACACTGGTTAGGGTGACAATGCAGGGCCAGGCTTGTTGATAACTATGCAAATTACGTCAATCAATTGCAGAAAACTGCATACACGCCATGCGATTCCTAAAATGTTTAACATGTCATTGATGACGTCGTCGCGAGTTTACATTGTTTGTAAACAAACATGGTTGCCCCCTTTCTCAAAATTGGTGCTTCTGTAAGAATTGATGACAGAGGTTCTGGAGTCGCTACTGCAGTAATTGACTTTGGAAAACCTGAAACGGAGTACTTCGTTCAAATTGAAGGTACGGATTATGAGGCACAATCGTCTAAGAAAGGTCCCAACCAAGGATTTCGATATATCGATCACAATACAGACAATGAATCGATTCCGTCAGGAATCAGAAACTGATATTGATGAGGTGATTACCCGCAATGAAAATAGAAACACTGCCATCATAACGTTATATGATAAGGGGCGGTGGGGTAGCCTAATGGTTAAAGCGTTGGCTCGTCACGCCGAAGACCCGGGTTCGAATCCCCACATGGGTACAATGTGTGAAGCCCATTTCTGGTGTCCCCCGCCGTGATATTGCTGGAATATTGCTAAAAGCGGCGTAAAACCAAACTCAGTCAGTCAGTCAGTTATATGATCAAGAGATTATTTACCTCGTGTGTTTCCATATCATTAATATCATATATTAGAAATAAAAATAAAAATTATGTATTCCTAATATATGATATTAATGATAAGTGAAAAAGAATACACTTGCTTAATAATCTCGGCATATAGTGCAGGGGGATATAGTCAACGCCTCGTCTATCTGTCCGGTCCGTATGTCCGTCTGTCCATAATCATTTCGTCACCGGAGCATAGCTACAAAAACGTTCATATATGGTTTATAAATCAAACAGAACCTAAAGTGATGCATGGAAACAATTTGCACTTAGTCTATAAAATCATGTTTGACTTTAAGTACACTCTTAAAAAACAACAACAAACAAACAAAACAAAAAGAAACACATACGCCATTTTAGAAGAAATTATTGCATAAGTTAATCAGCATTTCAATTTCATGTAGTTTCAATGGTAAAAAGATTCAATTCACACGTCAAAAGAAACAAGAAGACAAAGTTATCGATATCCCCCGCAACAGAAAAATACTCTTCATGAATATGTCTACGAGTTATGATTATGTCAAATGTTTTGGTGTGTATATAGCTAAGTGGTAGGAGGGTACTCAAAGGTTTCAAAGTTCTGCTCCAGAAAGGGGCACTACCACCACATTCATTTCAAGCGAAAAATGTTGCCATGGAAACGCAAAAAAAACCATTTTATTCAGAGTGAGTGAGTTAATATTTAACGTCACAACGGCAATATCTCCGCCATACATTTTATTCAGGAATCCAATACTACCATAACGCATCAGTTCCTTACTAGACCTAACTATGCATGAAATTTCGTGATGAAACAGTGAACAGTTTTAAGTTCTGCTCCGGAAAAGAGCACTACCACCAATTTCACTCAAAGTGAAACTTGTTTCCATGGAAACGCCAAAAATATTTTATTCAGAAATCCAAAAATACCAAAAGGCACCAGTTCACCACCAGATTTATCTAAATGCCAAGTTTGGTGAAGAAACATTGCACGGTTCAGAGTTCTGCTCCGGAAAAGAGTACTAGCACCAATTTCAGTCAAAGTCAAACTTGTTGCCATGGAAGTGCAAGAAATATTTTATTCAGAAATCCAAAACTACCAAAAGGCACCAGTTCACCCACTAGACCTACCTATGCATGAAAGTTGTTGATGAAACAGTGAGCAGTTTTTAAGCTCTGCTCCGGAAAAGACTACTACCACCAATTTCAGTCTAGGTGAAACTTGTTGCCATGGAAACGCCAAAAACACTTTATTCAGAAATTCAAAACTACCAAAAGGCACCAGTACCCCACAAGACCTATCTATTTACCACGTTTGGTGAAGAAATAGTGAACGGTTTTAAAGTTCTGCTCCGGAAAAGAGCACTACCACCAATTCCAGGCTAAGTCAAACTTTTTACCATTGAAATGCAACATATAATATATTCAGAAATCCAAAACTACCAAAAGGCATCAGTAGACCACAAGATCTATCTATGTGCCTAGTTTGGTGAAGAAATAGTGAATGGTTTTAAAGTTCTGCTCTGGAAAAGAGCACTACCACCAATTTCAGTCTAAGTCAAACTTGTTTCCATGGAAACGCAAAAGATATTTTATTCAGAAATCGAAAAAATACCAAAGGCACCAGTAGACCACCAGATCTATCTATGTGTCAAGTTTGGTGGTGAAACACTGAACGGTTGTAGAGTTCTCCTCCGGAAAAGAGTACTACCACCAATTTCAGTCTAGGTCAAACTTGTTTCCATGGAAACGCAAAAGATATTTTATTCAGAAATCGAAAAAATACCAAAAGACACCAGTAGACCACCAGATCTATCTATGTGCCAAGTTTGGTGAAGAAATATTGAACGGTTTTAGAATTATGCCCTGGAAAAGATGTGCACACACGGACGGAGTCCATTTTAATACCCCCCGCCTTGCGGGAGATAAAAAGAGTTCGCCCAACACAACAGCAGCCTTCGCTGTCGTGTTTCTGTTTACGTGAGTCCACAAAATAACGTCAAAATAAGTACTTTGTATGATCACCATTGGCAGAAATTACTAGCGTTGACATGCTGGAACAACTCCCATCTGTCGGTCCATATTCGGGAGCATGTGACGTGAAACGGCTTCGTTTATGTGCTCTTTCGTTGTCAAATTTCCCTGAACCACCAAATAAATCAGATCTTTGCGTGCTGGATATCAGACCCCACACCATAACACTAGCTCCACGGAATCTGTCGAACTGTCGGATGCAATTAGGGGTAAACGTTCATTTCCCCGACGGTAAACACGCTGCCTTCCGTCTCGCCGGTGAAGAAGAAATCGTGACTCATCACTGAACCAGACTCGCCTCCAGTTTCTAAGGTTCCAGTTCCGGACTCTACGACATCACCGCAAGCGATTGCGCCAATGGAAGTCTCTCAACACAGGGGCAACAACTGACCATCTTGGTCGAATCCCCACTTCACGCAATCGATTCCTTACAATTTGGTCGGAAATTCTTCTCAAACCAGGGATCAGTCTCAACGGCTGTGGGAAGAGGATGACGCAAGTGCTGAACCCGGATGTAGCGGTTCTGGGCTTGGGTGTTAATTGTAGTCTGCAAGTCTGCGGAATTGGTCTGCAGGAAATGATCCCAAAAGCGAAATATGGTGCTCTGATGAACGTTGAAATGTCGGGCAATTGCATACAGTGACTACCCAGCTTCAAGGTGGCCTATGGCGATGTTTCAATTGGCGGTACTCAGTCGTGACATGATGATTTCCTTTTTTCCAGGCAAAAACGAATTACAGAATTAAACACAACGTTTGCCATTTTATAGTGATCGATACAGCATGCGTTTTTTTCCGCTTACTTGCACGTGCATTTTCCTTTGCATGTTTTCTTGGTGACGTTTTGGCGAATATTTCTTTAAATGCTTCGAAAAACAAAGGAAAATATTACAATTGCCGTGTTATGGCGCTGAAGCTGTTTTCGATCACACAAAGATGAAGTTTTGGAAAGCAATAGTACATTTATATTGTTTTTGCCGCAGCTACACCTATGTGTTTCTTCTTCTTTTTTTATTGAGTGTAACTGTCGGATGATTTTTGTATTCACATTTGTGGTGACCGGGGAGATTTGTGATCTACTGCTGACTGTAGTTTCAAGTTAACTCGCCTTTGCATATGTTTAGGATAGGTGCCACCGGTGGGACAGGATACGCTCAGCTTATCGTGAATGCATTTAGTTTCCTCTTGTTGATTATGTCTGTTAAAATATATTGATATCAAGCTGAACCTGATTTCCAAGCTTTATGGTTTGAGTTTTCAGTGGCCCCAGAGCCCAAGTCACCATGGTTACCCAGATCCAAAGTACCTCCAAGACCACACTCAACAGACGAAAGCATGGAAGATCTGGATGGAACAGGTGCATGGCTATGGAAGTCAAGTCGACAATATGGTCTGGGAAACGAAAAGTAATTAAATGTTTTTTGAAAATGGTAAACCTTCCCAAGCTCCCCAACCGTTTTGCCATGACGTTTCTACCTCAATGAATGCCCTCGTATATCATCATGAGGCGAGGAGGTTAAGTTGTGATGGACACCGTCAGTCTGTTTATGATGTCTAACTATGAAGACAGGCACATTTTTAACATGAAGATATATACATTTCAGTGTATGTCCCATTATGTTTTAAATAAAATTGTTTTAAAAATGTTGAGTAATAGTGAGTGAGTGAGTTTAGTTTTACGCCGCAATCAGCAATATTCCAGCTATATGGCGGCGGTCTTTACATACTCGAGTCTGGACCAGACAATCCAGTGATAAACAGCATGATTGAGTAATATATTTTGTAAATGGATACATGGCATTTTAAAATTTGTAGCATTAATTTGTACCTAGTGGTTGTATCCTCATAGGGGGTTAAAGTATCATAAAATAATTGTCCTCCATAGAGTGTACGTGCGTCCCGAAACATTAACAATACATCTAGATCTACCACTATCTTCAATGCAGTATACATTTTTATTTTATGGCACGGTTTAACGAACAGTTGCTAACATCGGAAGGGACGATGTGAATCCAGTTTGGGTCAATGCAGGTGGCAAAAACACGTTCTCTATGGTCCCCAGTGTGGTGATATATAGTATTCACAGAAATTATTGAGAAAGTTGTTTCGGCCAATATTTAATACATGTATATCAACTATAGAAGGTTGACATAAATGAATCTGTTCAGATATGATTCTCTTTGAGTCTAAGTGTCTTTTCAGTACTTTGGGAGTGAGTCCAGATTTAAGGTCACATCGGCAATATTTCAGCCATTTTGTAACTAAAAGTAGTTTTAAATTCATAATACATTCATATAATATACTGAACTTCATTGAAAACGCACCACTTATAAAAGTTCAGATTATTAAACGCCTGTGTAAGGAATTGATATTTTATGAGTGGATAATAACAGATGGACGACTGACAAACAACAACACAGAAAAGACGCTCATTCATTGAAATGTTCCACAGTCAGAAAGGATCAAACACACGTGGGGTCAAATCGAAAATTCAATATCGCGTGTGACCGCCATTTGCATTGACACATGCAGTTCAACGTCTCCTCGTGGAGTCAATAAGCGTCCGAACAGAGTTCTTGAGGATGGCATTCCACTTCTGCAGTAGTGCAGCCTCAAGTTCCCGGATGTTTCGCATCTGTTGTCGCTGCGAAAGACTTTGACCAATTTCGTCCCACAAGTGCTCCATGGGGGATACATCTGGCGACGGTGTTGGCCTATGAATAATCTGGATGTGTTGCTGGGCCAGATACTGCATAGAAAGTCTTGTTGTGTGTGCCCGTGCGTTGTCCTGTTGAAAAGTATGGACATCTTGGTGGTGATTGAAGACAGATACGATGTGATTCTGAAGAATCTGCTCACGGTAATAAAGGGCATTAACTCTCCCTTGACAGACATGAAGGCAGTCCTGTGATTGTAACTTATTCCACCCCAGACCATGACACTCCCACCATCCAAAGGTCTGTCTGAACCACACACCCATCAGCATAACGTTCACCACGTCTACGCCAAACACGTAATCGGCCGTCAGCATTACGTAGAAGAAGACGTGACTCGTCAGTGACTACCACACCATGCCATTGTTGTAACCTTTACTGAAAATGCCTGCTAGCCCATTGTATACGTTCATTACGGTGTCTGTCAGTCAGAATTGGTCCAACGTATGGACGTCGAGCATGGAGCCCTGTACCGTGTAGACGGCATCTCTGTCCTCGTTTCACAATCGTTAGTGAAGCAATGAGAATCGGTTCTCATACACCTGCTTTTAATGTCACTATCAGTATGATTTCAGAAAGAAATTCGCGCTTTTTTCATGGCGTGACTGCATGTTGATGCATTTTCGATTACGAGTCATACTGTGGACAGGAATTTGTTTCTAAAGCATTCCTTTCAACTGGACATGCCCTTCGACTTCAAGTTAGTTATATTCATTGATCATTGTCATGCTGAAATCCATCTTGATGAAAATATGGACAATTTTAAACTGGTGCGTTGTCAGTGATGTTCAGTATATATAAAACCCTGTCAACGAAGGACAGTAAAATCACTAGGTTATCACAAAACGAGATAAAACTAGTTAGCCAGTACTTTGTGAGACCTACTTGCCCTGCAACATACGATTTTATAGCTAAAATACATGGAATTATCATGAAACGGCCCTCCCATTATCAGAAATTTGCGGGCCGCTGCAAATGATATTGGACCGCTCAACCTTAACGACGGGCCACTATTAGTTCTGTTGTCAAGTGACGTCATAGTGAGTGCGTGGGCTTACAGTTCATTCGACATTAATTGGCTTTCGACTGGCAGATATTCTGGGTCAAACAAGTCAAAGCAACTCGAATTACCGCTTTAAATAGCGGTAATATTGGCTTTCTTGTTGGTGCTAACCTTAACAATTGCACTATTAAGGCTATTGATGGACCAAAACCGAACACTGACATAGTTTGACATGTTGCAGGCTATGGTCTTGTCAAAGGCCAAGGTCGAATATCGTCACTTTCTGTTGTAACGTCACTTGAATTGTTCGATGACGTAATTGCATTCGGGCAGTCAACCCCGTCACAAGTTGATTTGGGTAAACTTACAGTCAAATTCCTTCATTGTTCCCTTTTTTTCAACACAAATTCAATGTATTTTAGCAATAATAACGGTAATGCTATTTTTGAGGGCATTATCATTTGCAGAAGCCCTCGGGATTCTGCAAATGATAATGCCCTCAAAAATAGCAGTTCCCTTATAGTATGCGCCTAGGTACACTACTGATCAACGTTTGTAGGACATCGCGTATCCCAATATTCGACCACTTCTTTCTTCATATCCTCAATATTTCTAAGTCCTTTTTGGTTTATTTTGTCCTTCATTAGTCCCCACACATTCTCAATATGGTTAAGATGTGGGCTGTAGCCTGGCCAGTCTAAATCTTGAACATTTTCGTCCGACAGCCACTGTTTTGTGTAGTACGCAGTGTGTTTTGGGTCGTTATCATGCTGGAAAATCCAATTATCTTGATACAGCCGTTCTTGGCCGTTCATTGAAGAGGTAATCATAAAAGATAATAAACTCCATGTGATGATATCCCACCTCACATATGAAATTTCGAGCTATGTTTCGGGCGTTGGTACATAAGGTTTAACGGTATCTTTTGTCCAAAGTTTCACAGACTTCTGAACAAGCCAGACACCATTTTCGCCAGAAAAGAAAACCCTATCCCAATCTTGATTTTTTTTGTCCTGAACAGGTCAGGTCTGGCCCAGCTGGATAGATAAGTCGCATCATCAGGGTAAATTCCCCAACAACCTCGACGCAGTGGGAGAGTTTATGTCACTCATGGTTGAGAGCGCCAAGGACTACTCCAAAGGGGACATGCCTAAAATATTTGAGGTCATCAACGAACCTGAGGTAGAACACTATATTGATGAACAAACTCTACTAGATTTGCATACAATAGTAGCTCAGAAGCTGAAATCCAGGTTTGGAATGAAGGTTGGAGGACCAACGTACACTGGCTATACCATCCTGAATTCAGATATTAACGACTTTAGCAAGTGGAAAAGGACAGCGAGGTTTTTGGACATGTCTCTTGATCACTTGGACTTCTTCTCCTTCCATGCCTACAATTACATCTATGTATCTGGTGGAAGTCATAGGTTCAGTGGCATCAACGAAGCTCGACTTGTAGGTGGTATTGACATGATAGAAAATTACTCCCATCTGAAGAAAGGACGAAACGTTCCGATCATTATTAGCGAGTATGGCAGAGGTGGCGTACACGGAATAGATCAGTGGGCACCCAGTAGTTTACTCGACTTTCAGACCATTTACCAACCAAATGGCTTCATGTTTACTTATCTGCACCTGAGGGAGTTCATGGACAGGGCTATAGTTTTTATTCTTGCAAATGAACAATATGCTGGTCATACCAGTCTCAACTGGTCCTTGTTTACAAGAGATGGTCACCCGACACAAATGGTAAAATTCTTTCAGTTTTGGCATAATTTCAATGATGATCAGAAATTCCTCAAAATCGGAAGTAAATTCGATGGAGTTGAGCGTGTAGTTTCCCCTCTTGCTCTGGCGAGCCCAAACAACAAAGAGGTGGTAGTTCTTCTCCACAACTATGGCACTGCCTGGCAGAATGTGAAGCTGGACTTCGACGGCGGATGGATCAAACCTACAACTGGCGAATCAACATGTGTCCGGTTCCAAAACGGTAAGCCAGCAATGAACTCCAATGTCCACTTCGACACTACCAAGAACAATGGAAATGTTGGCCTTCCTGGGGAGTCAACATGTTTCTACAAATTTAAAACCAACTACAACTTTGGAGGCGTCCGCACCAACAACGAGAACACCTACTATGGTAAGAACATGGTCATCCCCATCAGCAATGGACATGCGCAGACAACCATCCAGCTACCTAGCTCTGGCTACCATACTTCCCATCTTAGAGTGGGAGTTAGTCGTTCTAAAAGCGCCAACGCAAAGCCACTGAAAGTTGAGTTCAATGGATACAACCTACCCGCAACTTACACGCTGTTTGACGCCGACAAAGTTGAAGCAACTACAAAATGGGAGGTGTGGGAGTACTCGGTACCAACTGATCACGTCAAATCGACAAACACCATCAGCATGACCTTTGCTGGAAATGGTGGCCACGTGACGTCAGTGGCGCTGGTTGTAGGGAAGCTTCAATAAAGGAATTTGTTGTCAGTTTACTCGGGCTTTATTATTAGTCTTATAACTTTATTAGAAAATAGTTGCATAGACTATATTCTCATTTTCCCTGATATAATTTGAATTTATGGTATGTATTTTTTAGTAATACCTTCCAAGAAAAACTGTTTGTATAAATGGTTTGATGGCAGTCTCTTAATATATACTAATGTCTGACTATCTTGTAGTGTTGCTTCTGAATGCAATAGGGGAAGTTGGGCAGCCCAGTGGTTAAAGCGTACGTCACGCCGAAGACCCGGGTTCAATCCCCACATCGACACAATGCGTGCAGCCCATTTTTGGTGTTCCTCGCCGTCATATTGCTGGAATATTGCTAAAACCGGCGTAAAACTAAATTCACTCACTCACTGAATGCAGTATAAAATCAAAATTTTACATTGTATATAAGCAGCACGTGTTACAAGTGTACATAGAATCCAGAGTATAGATGCGTCCACCAGGAAATACACAATAGAATGGAGGTTGGGCAAAACAAGTGTGATTTGACTGGAAGGTCAGAGTCGGTATCGATGGAATTGTCCTTGACTGGGTACGTTCTTACCTATCTGATAGGTCACAGTCCGTCAAAGTGGAATCTGTACTCTCCACTGCATCACCACTCCACTATGGCGTTCCCCAAGGATCTGTCCTTGGACCTTTACTGTTTAGTCTGTACATTCTTCCCATTGGTGACATTGTCCAAAGCACTCACTGAAATTTCATCTTTATGCTGATGACAATCAGTTATATCTGTCAGCGGAGCCTAACCTTGCTCAAGGTTGTGCACTGATGATACAACAATGTATTGCTAAAATAAGAGACTGGATGACCTTGAACTTTCTGAAATTGAATGACACAAAGACTGAGTTCTTAACCATCGGATCCAGGCATCAACTTTCCAAAGTGCCTGACAGTTTATCTCTTGAAATTGGACAAGATGTTATCACGCAGTCCGACTCTGCAAAAAGTCTTGGTGTCATCTTTCAATCAACAATGTCATTAAAAAATCAAATCAAATCACTCAGCAAAGGATGTTTCTACCATATCTTCAATATTAGCAAGATCCGAACCCTCTTAGACTTCAACACCGCCCAGCTTCTAACGACCAGCCTTGTTCTCTCTAAACTTGATTACTGCAACTCCCTCTATTACAACATTCCTCAGCAGCTCCTTTCACAACTCCAACGGATTCAGAATTCAGCCGCCCGTGTTGTTGCCCGTGCACCACGCTACCAAACTGTGACACCTATCCTCCAAACTCTTCACTGGCTTCCTGTATCAAGCAGAATTCAATACAAACTTCTTCTTACACACAGCTGCATCTATGAAAACATGTTTTCTCAATATCTTAAAAGCCTCATTCATCTCCATGTTCCAAGCCGATTGCTCCGCTCATCAAACTCCCTACTGCTTACACAGCCTCACGTCAAAACAGCCATGGGATCAAGAGCGTTCTCTGCTGCAGCCCCCTAACTCTGGAACATTCTACCACTCACCCTAAAAGAAATAGAATCTGCTGATGCTTTCAAAACTGCCCTCAAAACTCATCTGTTCAAACTCTCTTTTCCATAGACATTGTCTACAATCTTTTCTCTTCATAGCGCCATTGAGCAATATCTTTTGGAAATAGGCGCTCTATAAATCAATTATTATTATTATTATTATTTTTCCACATAGGAACAAGAGCCATCAAGGAGACATGGGCATAGCAAACTTACAAAAACCGACATGGAGAGAATGTCATCTCATTGTGTTACTTGCTCTGCGGAAAATCATGTTATCACTTGAGTATTCCGCCCAGTAAATGAAAGGTAAATTGCAACTTACACAGCAATAAAACTGGCATCAGGCAGCCCACCAGATAGCAGGGCGTCCTGTGAGGGTGTGAGCCTAGGATGAGTCTGGCTTCCCATAGCCAATTGCACATTGCCTGATCGGAGATTCGGCGCAGTCCAGGGATTTGGAGTGTTGTGGATGATGCAGACGTGTTTGAACGAAGATGTCTCAACCGGATGTAGCGATCCTGGGCGGCGGTGGTAACTCCAGGTCGACCTGACCTGGGTCTGTCATTAACACTCCCAGTATTGTTGGTTCGAGATGGCCTTTCTGGACACGCTGAAGTGCCTTGCCACCTCATGCTGCGATGCCCGTCCTTGTAAACGGCCGATGACGTTGTGCCGTTGAGCTTCTGTCAGTGTTTTCATTCTCTTGTCGTCTATTGTGGCATAATGCAATGCACGTGGAGTACCATTGATGTGGCTTTTTAAAGCCTACAGTCATAGGCTTCAGCTCAAGGTGATACACGATTTCATGATGCGCGTGCATTTCATGTAGGGTGCGTTTTAGCGATTTACTACAGACGGGAGTGTAACGTTACGCTTTTGTTCAACGTTTCTTTTTTCAAACTTTTTGTCATTCCCCTACATGTTGGGATTCAGCATGGGTTGGTTTGTGTCAAATATTTTCCTAAAATTCATTTTTTTCCTATGTATAATTTCTTTTTTGGAAAAGTATATTTTCTTTACATTTTAGTGTGTCCATTTATATATCATTACACAACCCTAATCCATATTTGATAGGGCATGTGAGTCCCTCGAGGCGCTGCTTCCGGCATTAAGCTGGTTCCCGGCACCAATTGCGCACGCCAACTTGCGATATGCGAGACGGGGCCAAAATTAATTCCGGGACCAGATTTCCGGTGACAAGAGTATATTCTGGAACCAGCTCTGGTTCTAAACTGCGCGACCGCCAAATATGACATTACTAGACCGGACGAAGTGTCTAACCATGTTTGTCTGTCACAGCTTTTGATACTCGTCATAGTTGGCTGATTTGGGATGGTTAATATATTATCCCGGCAAGGATTATCGGTTCCTTACTGTCAACTGACAACCATGAGATCATTCGAAATGGTACGAAACGTTGTTTGTCACTAAGTACTAAACAACGTAAGGTCTCGCGAAGTGCCGTGACCTACTTACGGGTCCTATATACAATGTACGGCATGCCAAGGATCCCAGCTGATGTGGCTATGGTCCCACTCAGGTAGATTCAGATTCTCATACCACGGTGCTGCTAAGTCGTTTGTTCCACTTGTAAATGTTATCATGACGCTCCTGTGTTGCACATAAGATGTATCATTGGTCAGCAGTGTTTTATCACACGGCGATACAATCGAAGAATCACCTCCTCTGGTGAAAAAACCATGAGGGTTTTTAATTGCATTTTCACAGTCGTTTACACACGAGTGTATAGGCTCTGAAACTATTGACAGAGTGACTTTTGTTTTACGCCGCTTTTAGCAATATTCCAGCAATATGACGGCGATGGACACAAGAAATGGGCTTCACACATTGTACACATGTCGGACATCGAACCGGGTCTTCAGCGTGACGAGCAAACGCTTTAACCAACAGCTACCCAAACTATAAAACATGAGTTGGAACCTTTGTCTGGAGAAAAGAAGTGTTCTGAACCAATATTTACGGGTTTATTATTCTGGATACCCAGCGATTACGCCACGATGAATTTTTACGAGCGACACTATCTTTGCTGGAGCTACAGAAACACAATCTGAAAACATTTATCGAGCGACTAAATATTTCGATACATACCATATTCCAGTTTTCTCTTAATCCTCAATTGAGTTGCTATATCGCACAGATAGAATAAATGTTGCATATATCCAAACTACAGAATCCTACTGAACAACAGGGCCGGTGGGGTAGCCTAGTGGTTAAAGCGTTCGCTCGTCACGCCGAAGACCCGGGTTCGATTCCCCACAGGGGTACAATGTGTGAAGGCCATTTATGGTGTCCCCCGCCGTTCATTCAGACTGACTGACTGACCGAGTTTGGTTTTACGCCGCTTTGAGCAATATTCAAGCAACATCACGGCGGTCATTCAGACATATGCTGAAGCAAAACCAAGTTTACCCTTTGGCAGAATCTGTCTTACCTCTATCCTCTCTTCACAATCTTACATTCAATGAATACCTCCCTGTTATCAGGTATTTAATGAATGGTGACTCTACCTTCTCAGATCACTCTTTAGAAGCATAGTCAATGCTGCCAAAGCATATAAAGAGGATATTCAGAGTGGATTAATTCAGTGCATGATGTTGATTGTTTGCAGATTGCACCAACTGAAACAGAGAAAACAACACTAGAGTATATTCTGCCCAATCCAGCTGTCATCCTTAGTCGGGCTACCATATTTTGTTAAAAACCGATGTGATGATCAGATAGAGTACCATATACGTCTTAAATCAAACACGATCTGAAGTTTACTCTGGACCTCATTCATAGCGAGTGATTTTAGTTCTACGCTGCATTCAGCAATATACCAGCTATATGGCAGAGGTCTGTATATAATCGAGCCTGGACCAGACAATCAAGTGATCAACAGCATGAGCATCGATCTAGGCAATTGAAATACCATGACATGTGTCAGCCAAGTCAGTCTATCCCGTTAGTCGCCTCTTACGACAAGCATGCTCTACTGAAGATCAAAACTTCTGCTCGGAAAGGCTAAGTAACAAAGGCAATTAGTTCAATTTTTATGAAAGCTTCTGGTGTATCCATGACTGATCGATGCGTACTAAAAGTTCAATCACCATGTTTCAAAATCTCCTAAACTGATTTAGCAACATGAGCTATAAATAATTGAAGAGATGCGAGGCCAGCTTACGACGTCTATGCGTGTGTATGTGTGGCTGCTTGTGCTAGTCCAGACTTAAGCTGGTTTTATAATGCAAGCTCCGAGCCGACCAGTCTTTGTTGTACCCCGAGCGCCAGACAGGGACCAACAAGCACCATATTTTAATGTCTTTTGGCATGACGCAGCCGGGGATCGAACCCGGGACTTTCCCCTTTACAGGCAGATGCTCTAACCAGTACACCACGGAGGCGGTGTACCATAAAATGTAGTCTGCATTGCATTAAAATATTATGCAAATAATGCAGAATAAAGTTAAGATCACTATATATGTCTTTAAATTTTTCAAGATATTTACAAAAGTAACTTAGAAAATAAAAATCATGTCCATGATATGCAGCTATTATGACGGACAACTGGTACACTGATGAGACATATATTTCCTAATCACTAATTTGGCAAACTCTTATCTCACATATGCTTTAAATATTTCTTGAGATCTGACACATGGAGATTGCAGTCATGAATCAAACATATAAAAGCCATGTTAGTCAACAGAATTATCAAAATACCACAGCAGAATGTTGCTACAGGTTCTGTGCGCTTTGTTTCTGTGGGGAGCGGCGTTCTCTGACACAACCATCACAATCTACAACGAGTGGCTCGCCCAGGGTGGACGTGTCAATTACGAACCTGAAAGATGGAACAAGATTAATGGGCTCTCCCAGCTGAACCTAATTCCAAAGTTGAAAGCCATCGACACATCTCCCGGGCGGTGGGTGAACAGGGACCTAAATCTCTTTCCAAATGTACGTATGCAGGAAGATTGGTTGGTTGGTTTATTGTTTAACGCCGCACTCAACATTGTTTCAGCTACATGGCGGTGGTCTGTAAATAATCGACTCTGGACCAGATAATCCAGTGATCATCATCATGAGCATAGATCTACACAAATTGGAAACGGTGACGCATGTCAACCAAGTGAGCGAGCCTGACCACCAGATCTCGTTAGTAGCCTATTGCGAAAAACATGGGTTGCCGAAGACCAATTCTATACCAGAGCTTCACGGGTAGTATACGGAAAGAGGCATACATTTTTGAACTATTTTCAGAAATTGTATGACGTAATGCAAGTAGCCGTATTTCTTCCTACCTTGAAATTGAACGGATGCAGTTGGAGAATACATCTATACGTGTCACGTATTTCCAAAGAGCAGATAGTTGAGCATCCTTTCAGACATTGAACAATCTGGTCCAGACATACTTTTGTAATGGGACTCTGGCTGCACATCATATTCAGTTGAAGTTATGTTGCAGCGTATTAATAGCCAGGAAAACAAAGAAAAGTGCTCAGTGGTCACTCATTAATGTGACCCTTGATAAGTAACGTCTGTTCCTGCGTCCACTGATACTGTTTAGGCAAGGGCATACATTTCTCACATCTGGCAATTTCAGAACAAAACTATATGTGCATTATGTGTGTCAAGGCAATGTGTTATTAATTTGCAATACTTTGTATTACATTGTTTTTTACAATATATAATAGTCAGAAATAACTTCAGAACGTGTCCCCTCACGGACCGCATGCAATATGAACATTTATTCTTCCATGGAGAAAACTGGTAAATCTATACTAAATTATTATCTTTCTTCAGTGGCCAGAAAACCCTAGCCGCAAAGGCTATCCTAATCCAACGTATCTCCAGGACCATACACTCCAGTCAAAGACATGGCAGTGGTACATGCAACAAATGCAAAACTATGGGGATGCCAAGATCGAAAACATCGTCTGGAACATAGAAGGTTTCCTTAGTCGTTTAATCGTTTAAACAAGTACATGGAAAGAGTGTTGCCTGCAGGGCAGATATGGGACAGTTCAAAGACTGATTTCGAGTATTATCGCATTCAATAAATCTTCCATTGTTCAATGATCCCAGCAGTATTTAACTCATAATCTCATTTTCTGTCGAATGATTTTCATCTCGCCAACATTTGTACTTACCTATTTACAAACGCCCATTTTGCATTAAGTCTTAAAGTCTTGGCATAGCACGCTATGGAAATATTTGACTGTTTATGCATTGCATATATTCCTTCTTTACAGGTAGGCACTGGCCCGCCTGGATAGATAAGTCTCATCATAATGGCGGATTCCCAAACAACATTGACGCTGCATCAGAGTTTGTGTCGCTGATGGTTCAGAGTGTCAAGGACTTCACAGGAGGAGGCATACCCAAAATATTTGAAGTCCTCAATGAACCTGACTGGTACGAAAAAACTATTGACCCACAAACGAATATAGACTTCCACAGGGCCGTCGCCGACAAACTGAAAAAAAAGAATTGGAATGAAGATATGCGGACCGTCCTACACCAGTATGATCTTAAGACAAGCAGATGAAAATAACTTCAGCAGGTGGAAGAAAACTGCTAAGTTTCTTGACATGTCTCTCGACCACTTGGACTTTTTCTCTTTCCACTCCTACAACTATCTGCGTATATCGGGTAGTACCAATTCCTACTTTGGCGTAAACGAAGCCCGCCTGGCTGCTTCTCTCGACATGGTGGAAAGGGAAAAATTACTCTCATATCAAGAAAGGGAAAAATGTACAGTTAATTAATACTGAATTTGGATTAGGTAATATGTTCGGAGTTGCTGCCGATTTTGAAGATGGTTTGACTGACTTTCACACCATTTACCAACCAAACGGCTTCATGTTTACCTTCCTGAACATGAGAGAGTTCATAGACAGAGTTACCATCTTTCTCCTCTCAAACGAGCAATTCCCGGGTCATCCCTCCCTTCGGAATTCCTTATTTACCATCGATGGCCATCCTCTGGAAATGACAAAATTCTTCACGTTTTGGAAAAACTTTGTTCATGATCAGAAGTTCCTCCGCGTCTCAAGTCAATATAATGGACAGGAGAGAAGTGTGTCACCTCTTGCCCTAGCAAATCCTCGGACCAAAGAGCTGGTAGTTCTTCTCCACAACTATGGCAGCAAATTTGAGAATGTTCAACTGGACTTCCCCAAAACTGGCTCGACCCTTCTACAGGCGAAGAAACATGCCTTCTGTTCAACAATAGTAAACCAGTTATCAACGCTGGCTACAGATTTGACAGACATAAAAAATTCAGGGCACTGTTGGTCTCTCAGCAACATCAACGTGCTTCTACAAGTTCAAAACCAACTACAATTTTGGCGGAATACGCACAGAAAACGAGAACACATTCTACGGCAAGAACATGATCATCCCAATTACTAACGGACGTGCACAGACAACCATCGCTGTACCCAGCTCTGGATACCATACAGCTCATCTCAGAGTGGGAGTTACCCGAGCCAAGAATGCCAAAACGAAACCCAAGACAGTCGCGTTCAATGGCCAGACGTTGTCCTCAAGCTACATGCTGTTTGATGCTATGAAGACTGAAGGGGAGAACAGCATGGAACGTGTGGGAGTTCATGGTCCCTGCATCACAGGTCCGCGCGTCAAACTCAGTCACCATGACCTTTGATGGAAACGGTGGTGACGTGACATCTGTCGCAGTCGTTGTTGGAAAACTTCAGTAAATAAAAATTCATTTTGAAAATACCTTGTTTGTACTGACTCTGAGTTATTCATGGTATGCCCAGTGGCGGTGACATGTTATTAGTGGATACTGTAGTGGATGTTTACATGATATGTTACTAATGAGGAGTGAGTGAGTTTAGTTTTACGCCGCAATCAGCAATACTCCAGCTATATGGCGGCGGTCGGTAAATAATCGAGTCTGGATCAGACAATCAAGTGATCAACAGCATGAGCAATTGGGAACCGATGACATGTGTCAACCAAGTCAGCGAGCCTGACCACCCGATCTCGTTAGTCCCCATCTTACCCCATCCAACGGGTGGGGTAAGATAAATCTGGTCTATTATGCTTATATGTGTTTCTCATAGAGAGGAGGGGCGGTGGGGAAGCCTAGTGGTTAAAGCATCCGCTCGTCACGCCGAAGGCCAGGGTTCGATTCCCTACATAAGTACAGTGCGTGAAGCCATTTCTGGGGTCCCCCCGCCGTAATATTGTTGGAATATTGCAAAAAGCAGTGTAAATACACTAACTCACTCACTCACCCACCCACAAAACTATGCAGGAGAATCTATACTTCCCATCAAAAGTTTAAACTCACTTAAAACACTCACTCATGTTATGTATATATATATATGGTTACATCGAAGACTGATTTCTCCACTAACTTGGGGGAACCAACTGCAAACTGTATGCATATGAACTGCACGAGGATCATGCATCAAATTGCTGAAAAAACATGTGCAAATATCGGGCATATGAACAGCTACGTTTTGGTGTAAAGCTTTGTTAAGAATTCGCCAATTTCCACTGCTTTTTTATCATTTACTTAACTCATAACAATAATCTTTTCAACGTTACGAATTTGTTTTACAATACATCAGTTCATGTGTAAACAGTACCTTTTAATAGTATGGTATATTTCTCAACATTTAGTTTAGAACAGTTGCCGGAAATAAGGGGCTATAATTACACTAGTGAGTCTAAACTAAGTATAGTTTAGAGCGAATTGACGCTCCCTGTAATTAAAAAAGCTTCTTATGATTCCAGCCCCACTTGAACTTTGCATAATATTTAGTGTCGACAGATATTTATTGACCAAGTATTTTATGTGTGGTCAAAGGTCAAATGTGTTTGTGTGTGGTACATATGTTCGATAGAAGTGAAACATTAAAATCTCTTATAAACATCATGTTTGGATTCTATTCAAAACTAGATATAGTTGCCTGTCAATGAGTTTAGTTTTACGCCGCACTCAACAATATGCAGGACATATCGCGGCGGTCTATACATAATCGATATCTGGACCAGACAATCCTTTGATCAACAGCATGAGCATCGATCTACGCAATTGCGATGGCATGATGATGATGACATGTGTCAACCACGTCAGCGAGTCTGACCACCCGATCCCGTTAGTCGCCTCGTACAAGCATGGGTCACTGAAGATCAATTCTAACCCGGATCTGTAAACAGTATCAACGATTTTTTGTCACGACAGGAAGTATTAAATAGTGATCCATCAGAGCAATTTAAAATACTCACAGACCATGATCCCGATTATAATGGTCAGAGGTGTCCCGGACATATGTAATCTTTTAAAGTATCATATTCGCAAGTTGTGTTTCAGTAGATAAAATATAAAGTATGTTGTTTATTCATTATGAAATTATATTTTCGAGATATTCTAAAAGAATTTGGGCGGTGGAGTAGGCTAGTGGGTAAAGCGTCCACTCGTCACGCTGAAGACCCGGGTTCGATTCCCCATATGGTCACATTGTGTAAAGCCCATTTCTGATTTCCCCCCGCCATGAAATGGCTGGAACATTGCTAAATGCGGCGTAAACAAGTACTCACTCTACAAGAACTACAAGGAAGGTTGTGGGTAAACTATAGTATCGCACATGGAAAACGTCCGAATGTCCAAATTTCAAAATGTTAATCAGTCATCTTCAGAACAAATAATACTGCCCATGTCTCGATTGGAGCATGGAAGTGACCCGAAGAAACACAAGCTGTGTTTTACATAACATTGACCAATCAACCATTCTGCCATTTGACTCAGTTACAATTAAGGAAAATATATGTCGTATTTCATTACATATTTTTTAAGTCACGGTTTTGTGCACAGAACATCGCATGACCAGTCAAATGATTCATTTCAGTCCATTTTAACATCCGGCTAAGTGAAGTAAGATTCGGAGTGGAAGTGCTGGTCAAAGGAACACAGTGTCTGGTACCGGTGACCTCAACCAGCAGACTCTAGACCTCCAACTCACAGCAATCAAGTTGCTCAAATTAGGAAGGAAAACCAAGGTCTATGAATAGTCAACTTCTTTATTGCAATGAGTGCGACGTTTCGGTTTAGGTACTAACACCGTTATCAAGCGATACTAAGAGTTGTAACATAGCTTCATAGTGAGTATATATAACTGACAAGGTTGATATACATTGGATTGTTAATTAGTGATTTGAGCAGAGTAGGTTGATGTACAGAGTGATAGTGATGAAAACAATATGCAGAATGAGTTGATGTACACTGAGATGGTAATAGTGTAAAACAACTTCTAAAATGCCTCTCAAAGATGTTGCTCAAATTACAAGTTACAAGATGAGGGGTGCTGGAGACAAAGCTTACCCGGGTTGACTGACAGTAACCCGCAACTATTTTTATGTATTAGGTGAGTGAGTGAGATAAAATTTATCGTCACATCGGCAATATTCCGCCCATATCGTGACGAGAACAATTAATTCTATACATAGTACTTAAATCTAAAACAGTTTAACTATGGAGGGCAATACAAGGTAAAAACAGGCTATATATTGCCACCCACTGAAGGTAGATCACCATACTGGGGACTTCTGTGTTAGGACGTAGATGCGAGGACGACTTGAACTGCAAAGTACACCATGCATACATTTTGGAAGTTTCCTCTGTTCCGTTTTCCTGCATTGTTTTGTACAAGATACTTGACAGTATGTGCATGTGAGCTGCATGCGTAGTTACAGATATTGGCATACAATGTGCGTCTACTGTCACGACTTGTCAAGGTTGACAGATAAGTGAACTATTTTAACAAACAAGTACAAATGTGTCACACGGAAGGTTGGTTGGTTGTTGTTTAACGCCGCACTCCGCAATATTCCAGCTATGTGGCGGCGGTCTGTATATAATTGAGTCTGGACCAGAAAACTCCAGTGATCAACAGCATGACCATCGATTTACGCAATGGAGATACGATGACATGCACGAAGCAAGTCAGCGAGCCTGACCACCCGATCCCTCCAGTCGCCTCTAACGACAAGCATGGGCTACTGAAGATCAATTCTAACCCGGATCTTCCATGTACAAATGTAGGACAGGACATTTAAGGTGTCCCCCACCGTTCACTCATAAACATACACTGAAGCAAAACCAAGTTTACCCTTTGGCAGAATCTGTCTAACCTTTCTCCTCTATTCACAATCTTACATTCAATGGATACCTCTCTGTTGTCAGGTATTAAATGAATGGTGAGGTGCACTCTACCGTCTCGGATCACTCTTTAAAAGCATGGCCAATGCTGCCAAAGCATATAAAGAGCACATCAGAGTGGGTTAATTCAGTGCATGATGTTGATTGTTTGCCGATTGCACCAACTGAAAGAGAGAAAACAACGCTGGAGTATATTCTGACCAATCCAGCTGTCATCCTAAGTCGGGCTACCATATTTTGTTAAAAACCGATGTGATGATCAGATAGATTACCACATACATCTTAAATTAAACACCATCTGAAGTCTACTCTGGACCTCATTCATGGTGAGTGATTTTAGTTCTACGCTGCATTCAGCAATATTCCAGCTATATGGCAGAGGTCTGTATATAATCGAGTCTGGACCAGACAATCAAGTGATCAACAGCATGTGCATCTGACATACCATGACATGTGTCAGCCAAGTCAGTCTATCCCGTTAGTCGCCTCTTACGACAAGCATGCTCTACTGAAGATCACAGTTTCTGCTCGGATAGGCTAAGTAACAAAGGCAATTAGTTCAATTTATATGAAAGCTTCAGGTGTATCCATGACTGATCGAGGCGTACTAAAAGTTCAATCACCATGTTTCAAAATCTCTTAAACTGATTTAGCCACATGAGCTATAAATAATTGAAGAGATGCGAGGCCACCTTACTAGTTTAAATGCCCGTGAATAGAGTCTATGCCAATTAAAACAACAACCAACACAAGGAAAAATACAAAAAGAACACCACGAAAAAACCCACAAACAAACCAAAAGAACAGTGGGACGGCTTCAACTTACCAATGTCAACTTTCCCTAATGTCAAGATTCCGCGTTTGATGTTAATTCAAGTATGCTCAATTAGGTAACACGTTTTAGTTTTACTGAACATTTCGAAATCTGTCGCATCATTTGTTGTGATAGATTTCTTTACTTTCTTTACTTCTACCAAACATCCCTGTATCTATGACTAGGGCAGGAGACACAAGTTGGAAAACACCTGGTATCATCACAGTGGGAAAGTGATGAGTGAGTGAGTGAGTGAGTTAAAATTTAACGTCACATCGGCAATATTTCAGCCATATCGTGACGAGAACAATTAATTTTATGCATAATAAGCAATGGCAAACTATAAAAAGCTGTCAACGAAGGACAGTAAAATAACTAGATTATCACAGATTCGAATTTAAAACTAGCAATCAAATCTAAAACAGTCTAACTATAGGACAATACAAGGTAAAAACCGGCTATATATTGCCAACAACTGAAGGTAGATCACCATACTAGGGACCATGGGGACTTACAGTACATTGGCTTCCTGCATGGACCCTAGCTGGATTTACACCATCCCCTCAGCTATTAGCAATGTTAGATAATCTAGCCATAAATTAAACGAACATATATTCTACGATTAAAAGAGTAGTAGGTTTAAATTTACTTTGAATGTTTTGGGACTTACGTACCCTCTCAGGAGGACAATAATTTTACGCTACTTCAACCCCCTTTGAGGGCACTGCCACTCACAATCTAAGTTACTAATCTAATCTACCAATAATTAAAATACATATATGTACAGAACATATTAATCAAAATTCATTCATTAAATCAATTTCTTTTAAGAAGCCAATAATTAAATGAAAATTAACAGTGTTAAAAAGATCCTTAACTGTTTTCACATTGAAGTATTTACCCCTTATGATGGAGAATTCAACACAGTCAAGCAGGACATGCTTGACCGTGGTTCTCTCATCACAAGGGATACAAAACGGAGGATCCTCACCTTTCAATAGGTATGCATGAGTGTATCTAGTGTGGCCAATGCGACATCGTCGCATGATGACCTCTTCAAATCTGGACTGACAACCCAAGTAGGTATAACCGATATAGGGTTTTATTTCATGTAATTTATTGATACCTACTTGGTTGTCCCACTTCTTTTGCATCAGATCACAGATGTAAGTTCTAATGCCAGCTTTATAATCAGAATATGGAATAAGAAGTGGTGTCACAGATTTGTTGAGTGCTGCCTTGGCAGCAAGATCAGCCATCGTGTTCCCAGAAATGCCAACGTAGCTGGGTAACCAACAAAAGACGATGTCGCATTGGCCAGTAGCAAGCTCATTATATAATTCGATTATTTCAATTAAAAGTGGATGTTTACAAGAGAGATTTTTAATCGCCTGAAGGCAAGAAAGAGAGTCAGAAAATATTATATATTGTTTATGTTTGGGATGTCTTTCAATATATTTAAGAGCTGTTAAGATGGCGTTTGCTTCTGCTGTAAATATAGAGCTGTTATCAGGTATTCTAGAAGATATTGTTCTGGATCCCAATTACAGTGGCACAAGCCACTGCGCCACCATCCTTGAACCCATCTGTAAATAAGGATTTGTATGTATTATAGTTATTTTTTAATTGATTATATTCTTGTAATTCGTTAGTTTCGGATTTTGTAAACTTTGTCAGTGTTAGGTCAACTTGTGGCCTCACTAATTGCCAAGGAGGAGAAGAAAGAAGACGGGAAGGAGATATATTCTCCAACTCAATGCCAGCAGCAGAAATATATTGTTGGATTCTTATCCCAAGAGGTGGAACAAGTGAAGGTTTTTTATTATACAAATCCTCATAAAGAGGATTAAAAACGCAAGTGTGAGCAGGATTGGATTCATTAGAATATAACTTTGTGATATATTGTAGGGACAATTTGATACGGCGAAGTTTTAAAGATGGCTCATCGGCCTCAACGTAGAGACTGTCAATGGGAGAGGTTCTGAAAGATCCAAGACAAAGTCTTAGACCCTGGTGATGGATAGAATCAAGTAGTTTGAGGTTGCTTTTACAGGCCCCACCATATACGATAGAGCCGTAATCAAGTTTCGATCGGACCAGTGATCTATACAAATGAAGGAGGGTGGTTTGGTCCCCTCCCCACTTTGAACTGGAAACGACTTTCAACAAGTCGAGTGCCTTCAGGCATTTGGCTTTTAGATTTTTGATATGTGGCAGAAAGGTTAAATGCGAATCAAAGATGAGACCAAGGAATTTAGCTTCCTTGACAACTTTGATGGGTGTGCCATTTAATGATAATTCTGTCTCTCAATAGTTCGCATGTTTTTACCACGGCAAGAAATATTAAAATCATCCACAAAAAGAGATCCATCGATTGAATCACTTAAAACCTTTGACAGACTATTTATTTTAATACTAAAGAGTGTGACAGATAAAGGGAAAGTGATGAATTCACAGATGCATAAAATATAGTGGTGAGGTTTAAATGGGGTATAACGTCGTACTTAAGAGTTTTTTCGCTCATATGACGACGTCTATGCATGTGTATGTGTGACTGCTTGTACTAGTCCAGACTTAAGCTGGTTTTATAGTGCAAGCTCAGTGAGATACCATGCTGCAGTTAGGCATGAAGACCCCACTCAGACACATTATACCGACTCCTAGCCGACCAGTCTTTGTTGTACCCCGAGCGCCAGACAGGGACCAACAAGCACCATATTTTAATGTCTTTTGGCATGACGCAGCCGGGGATCGAACCCGGGACTTTCCCCTTTACAGGCAGATGCTCTAACCAGTACACCACGGAGGCAGTGTACCATAAAATGTAGTCTGCATTAAAATATTATCGGCTCATATTCACCGGGGCCAGAATAAAGTTAAGATCACTATATATATCTTTAAATTTTTCACTATATTTACGAAAGTAACTTGCGTCAGTTAACAGAAAATAAAAATCATGTCCATGATATGCAGCTGTTATGACAGACAACTGGAACACTGTTGAGGCATATACTAGTATTTCCTTATCACTAACTTGGCAAACTCTTATCTCACATATGCTTTAAATATAACTTGAGATCTGACACATGGAGATTGCAGTCATGAATCAAACATATAAAAGCCATGTTAGTCAACAGAATTATCAAAATACCACAGCAGAATGTTGCTACAGGTTCTGTGCACCTTGTTTCTGTGGGGATCGGCGTTCTCTGACACAACCGTCACAATCTACAACGAGTGGCTCGCCCAGGGTGGACGTGTCAATTACGAACCTGAAAGATGGAACAAGATTAATGGGCTCTCCCAGCTGAACTTAGTTCCAAAGTTGAAAGCCATCGACACATCTCCCGGGCGGTGGGTGAACAGGGACCTGAGAGCAAATCTCTTTCCAAATGTACGTATGCAGGAAGATTGGTTGGTTGTTTTATTGTTTAACGCCGCACTCAGCATTGTTTCAGCTACATGGCTGCGGTCTGTAAATAATCGACTCTGGACCAGATAATCCAGTGTTCATCATCATGAGCATCGATCTACACAACTGGGAAACGGTGACGCATGTCAACCAAGTGAGCGAGCCTGACCACCGGATCTCGTTAGTAGCCTATTGCGAAAAGCATGGGTTGCCGAAGACCAATTCTATAACAGAGCTTCACGGGTAGTATACAGAAAGAGGCATACATTTTGAAACTATTTTAAGAAATTGTATGATTCATGAGTAACACATAACGTAATGCAAGTAGCCGTATTTCTTCCTACCTTGAAATTGAACGGATGCAGTTGGAGAATGCATCTGTACATGTCACGTATTTCCACAGAGCAGATAGTTGAGCATCCTTTCACCCATTGAACAATCTGGTCCAGACATACTTTTGTAATGCGACTCTGGCTGGAAAGCTTTGTTTCAAATCACACCTGCACATCATACTCAGTTGAAGTTATGTGTCAGCGTATTAATAGCCAGGTAAACACAGAAAGTGTTCAGTGGTCACTCATTACTGTGACCCTTGATATGTAACATCTGTTCCTGCGTCCATTGATACTGTTTAGGCAAGGGCATACATTTCTCATATCTGGCAATTTCAGAACAAAACTATATGTGCATTATGTGTGTCAAGGCAATATGTTATTAATTTGCACTACTTTGTATTACAATGTTTTGACAATATATAGTAGTCACAAATAATTTCAGAACGTGTCCTCTCACGGACCGCATGCGACATGAACATTTATTCTTCCATGGAGAAAAGTGGTAAAACTATACTAAGTTATCATCTTTTATTCAGTGGCCAGAAAACCCTAGCCGCAAAGGCTATCCTAATCCAACGTATCTCCAGGACCATACACTCCAGTCAAAGACATGGCAGTGGTACATGCAACAAATGCAAAACTATGGGGATGCCAAGATCGAAAACATCGTCTGGAACATAGAAGGTTTCCTTAGTCGTTTAATCGTTTAAACAAGTACATGGAAAGAGAGTTGCCTGCAGAGCAGATGTGGGACAGTTCAAAGGCTGAATTCGAGTATTATCGCATTCAATAAATCTTCCATTGTTCAAAGATCCCAGTAATATTTAACTCATAATCTCATTTTCTGTAGAATGATTTTCATCTCGCCAACATTTGTACTTACCTACTTACAAACGCCCATTTTGCATTAAGTCTTAAAGTCTTGGCATACCACACTATGAAAATATTTGACTGTTTATGCATTGCATATATTCCTTCTTTACAGGTAGGCACTGGCCCGCCTGGATAGATAAGTCTCATCATAATGGCGGATTCCCAAACAACATTGACGCTGCATCTGAGTTTGTGTCGCTGATGGTTCAGAGTGCCAAGGACTTCACAGGAGGACGCATACCCAAAATATTTGAAGTCCTCAATGAACCTGACTGGTACGAAAAAACTATTGACCCACAAACGAATATAGACTTCCACAGGGCCGTCGCCGACAAACTGAAAAAAAGAATTGGAATGAAGGTATGCGGACCGTCCTACACCAGTATGATCTTAAGACAAGCAGATGAAAACAACTTCAGCAACTGGAAGAAAACTGCTAAGTTTCTTGATATGTCTCTCGACCACTTGGACTTTTTCTCTTTCCACTCCTACAACTATCTGCGTATATCGGGTAGTACCAATTCCTACTTTGGCATAAACGAAGCCCGCCTGGTTGCTTCTCTCGACATGGTGGAAAATTACTCTCATATCAAGAAAGGGAAAAATGTACAGTTAATTAATACTGAATTTGGATTAGGTAACATGTTCGGAGTTGATGCCGATTTTGAAGATGGTTTGACCGACTTTCACACCATTTACCAACCAAACGGCTTCATGTTTACCTTCCTGAACATGAGAGAGTTCATAGACAGAGTTACCATCTTTCTCCTCTCAAACGAGCAATTCCCGGGTCATTCAACCCTTCGGAATTCCTTATTTACCATCGATGGCCATCCTCTGGAAATGACAAAATTCTTCACGTTTTGGAAAAACTTTGTTAATGATCAGAAGTTCCTCCGCGTCTCAAGTCAATATAATGGACAGGAGAGAAGTGTGTCACCTCTTGCCCTAGCAAATCCTCGGACCAAAGAGCTGGTAGTTCTTCTCCACAACTATGGCAGCAAATTTGAGAATGTTCAACTGGACTTCCCCCAAAACTGGCTCGACCCTTCTACAGGCGAAGAAACATGCCTTCTGTTTAACAATAGTAAACCAGTTTTGAACGCTGACTACAGATTTGACAGGCATAAACTACAGGGCACTGTTGGTCTCCCAGCAACATCAACGTGCTTCTACAAGTTCAAAACCAACTACAACTATGGCGGAATACGCACAGACAACGAGAATACATTCTACGGCAAGAACATGATCATCCCAATTACTAACGGACGTGCACAGACAACCATCGCTGTACCCAGCTCTGGATACCATACAGCTCATCTCAGAGTGGGAGTTACCCGAGCCAAGAATGCCAAAACGAAACCCAAGACAGTCGCGTTCAATGGCCAGACGTTGTCCTCAAGCTACATGCTGTTTGATGCTATGAAGACTGAAGGGAGAACAGCATGGAACGTGTGGGAGTTCATGGTCCCTGCATCACAGGTCCGCGCGTCAAACTCAGTCACCATGACCTTTGATGGAAACGGTGGTGATGTGACATCTGTCGCAGTCGTTGTTGGAAAACTTCAGTAAATAAAAATTCATTTTGAAAATACCTTGTTTGTACTGACTCTGAGTTATTCATAGTATGCCCAGTGGCGGTGACATGTTATTAGTAGATACTGTAGTGGATGTTTACATGACATGTTACTAATGACGAGTGAGTAAGTTTAGTTTTACGCCGCAATCAGCAATACTCCAGCTATATGGCGGCGGTCGGTAAATAATCGAGTCTGGATCAGACAATCCAGTGATCAAAAGCATGAGCATCGATCTACGCAATTGGGAACCGATGACATGTGTCAACCAAGTCAGCGAGCCTGACCACCCGATCTCGTTAGTCGCCGCTTACGACAAGCATGGGTTACTGAAGATCAATTCTAACCCGGATCTTCCGGGAACAAATGTAGGGCAGGACATTTATAGTGTCCCCCGCCGTTCAGTCATAAACATACACTGAAGCAAAACCAAGTTTACCCTTTGGTCACTGAAGATCAATTCTAACTCAGATCTTCACGGATTTATCAATAACGAAAGGATATCTAACATGTCATGAATTTCTTACATTTTGACACCTGTTGAGCTATTGAAATTGTATTCGTTTCTTCTATTCAAATTTGAAACTTGTCTGGATGAAATAGTCCTCGAACCAGTAATGGTGGATCTGATAAATACGTCGCCGTCCTCAGATCCATCTGCAAAGAAAGGAGTGTTTGTTAAATTATTATAAAGTAGCTGATAAAAAGAATCATTTGCTTCCCATATTTTAAGATAAGTTATTGTTATGCCACTCTATTGCTTTTCTGACTGCAGTGGTACAAGGCATAGCGGAAATCACTGCTATAATTTAGTATCAGTTGATTTGATTCTTACTCCAACGGGTGGGGTAATATAAACCTGGTCTATTATGCTTATATGTGTTTCTCATAGAGAGGAGGGGCGGTGGGGAAGCCTAGTGGTTAAAGCATCCGCTCGTCACGACAAAGGCCCGGGTTCGATTCCCTAGATAAGTACAATGCGTGAAGCCATTTCTGGTGTCCCCCGCCGTAATATTGTTGGAATATTGCAAAAAGCGGTGTAAAAACACTAACTCACTCACTCACTCACTCACCCACCCATAAAACTATGCAGGATAATCTATACTTCCCATCAAAAGTTTAGACTCACTTAAAACACTCACTATATGTTATGTTTAGATATATATGGTTACATCGAAGACTGATTTCTCCACTAACTTGGGGGAACCAACTGCAAACTTTATGCAGATGAACTGCACGAGGATCATGCATCGAATTGCTGAAAAAACATGTGCAAATATCGGGCAAGTGAACACCTACGTTTTGGTGTAATGCTTTGTTAAGAATTCGCCAATTTCCACTGCTTTTTATCATTTACTTAACTCATAACAATAATCTTTTCAACGTTACGAATTTGTTTTACAATACATCAGTTCATGTGTAAACAGTTCCTTTTAACAGTATGGAATATTTTGCAACATTTAGTTTAGAACAGTTGCCGGAAGTAAGGGGCTATATTTACACTAGTGAGTCTAAACTAAGTATAGTTTAGAGCGAATTGACGCTCCCTGTAATTGAAAAAGCTTCTTATGATTCTGGCCCCACTTTGAACTTTGGATAATATTTAGTGTCGACAGAATCTGATATTTATTGACCAAGTACTTTATGTGTGGTCAAAGGTCAAATAATGTCTGAAAACAATAAATACAAAGCTGATTTCATTTACAACCACAACAAGAGTGTTCATTAGTTCTGGGCTTTTGTGTGGTACATATTTTCAAAAGAAGTGAAACATTAAAACCTCTTATAAACATCATGATTGGATTCTAGTCAAAACTAGATATAGTTGCCTGTCAATGAGTGAGTTCAGTTTTACGCCGCACTCAACAATATGCAGGACATATCGCGGCGGTCTGTACATGATCGAGTCTGGACCAGACAATCCAGTGATCAACAGCATGAGCATCGGTCTACGCAGTTGCAATGACATGATGATGATGACATGTGTCAACCACGTCAGCGAGCTTGACCACCCGATCCCGGTAGTCGCCTCGTACGAGAAGCATGGGTTACTGAAGATCAATTCTAACCCGAATCTGTAAACAGTATCAGCGTTTTTTGTCACGACAGGAAGTATTAAATAGTGATCCATCAGAGCAATTTAAAATACTCACAGACTATGATCCCGATTATAATGGTCAGAGGTGTCCCGGACATATGTAATCTTTTAAAGTATCATGTTCGCAAGTTGTGTTCCAGTGGATAAAATATAAAGTATGTTGTTTATTCATTATGAAATTATTAGAGATATTCTAAAAGAATTTGGGCGGTGGAGTAGGCTAGTCGGTAATGCATCCACTCGTCACGCTCAAGACCCGGGTTTGATTCCCCATATGGTCACATTGTGTAAAGCCCATTTCTGATTTCCCCTGCCATGAAATGGCTGGAACATTGCTAAAAGCGGCGTAAACAAGTACTCACTCTACAATAACTACAAGGCAGGTTATGGGAAAACTATAGTATTGCACATGGAAATCGCGTCCGAATTTCCAAATTTCAAAATGTTTATCAGTCATCTTCAGAACAATAATCCTGCCCATGTCTCGATCGGAGCATGGAAGTGACCCGAAGAAACACAAGCTGTGTTTTACATAACATTGACCAATCAACCATTCTGCCATTTGACTCAGCGCACAATTACCAGTTACAATTAAGGGAAATATAAATCATATTTCATTACATATTTTTTAAGTCAAGGTTTCGAGCACAGGACATCGCATGACCAGTCAAATGATTGATTCCGGTCCATTTTAACATCCGGCTAAGTGACGTAAGATTCGGAGTGGAAGTGCTGGTCAAAGGAACACAGTGTCTGGTACCGGTGACCTCAGCCAGCAGACACCAGACCTCCAACTCACAGCAATCAAGTTGCTCAATTTAGGAATGAAAACCAAGTTCTATGGATAGTCAACTTCTTGAATGCAATGAGTGCGACGTTTCGGTTTAGGTACTAACACCGTTATCAAGCAAGTGATACTACAAGTTGTAACATGGAGAATATATACATGGCTGCATAGTGAGTATATATAACTGACAAGGTTGATATACATTAGATTGTTAATTAGTGATTTGAGCAGAGTAGGTTGATGTACAGAGTGATAGTGATTAAAACAATATGCAGAATGAGTTTATACAATAGATGAGCTGATGTACACTGAGATGGTAATAGTAAAACAACTTCTAAAATGCCTCTCAAAGAAGTTGCACAATTTAGTCGATTGTTACAAGATGAAGGGTGCTGGGGACACAGTCCACCCGGGTTGACTGACAGTAACCCGCAACTATTTGCTTATGTATTAGGTGAGTGAGTGAGTTAAAATTTATCGTCACATCGGCAATATTTCGGCCATATCGTGACGAAAACAATTAATTCTATACATAGTACTTAATGGTAAATTGTAAAAAACCTGTCAACGAAGGACAGTAAAATAACTAGATTATCACAGATTCGAATTTAAAACTAGTAATTAAATCTAAAACAGTTTAACTATGGATGGCAATACAAGGTAAAAACAGGCTATATATTGCCAACCACTGAAGGTAGATCACCATACTGGGGAATTATGTATTAGGACGTAGATGCGAGGACGACTTGAACTGCCAAGTACACAATGCATACATTTTGGATGTTTCCTCTGTTCCGTTTTCCTGCATTGTTTTGTACAAGAGTGAGTGAGTGAGTTATTATTTAACGTCACATCGGCAATATTTCAGCCCTATCGTGACGAAAACATATGTGACATTGAAATGGAATAGATGTATATTATAAAAACCTGTCGACGAAGGACAGTAAAACAAATAGATTATCACAATTACAACTAGAACTAGTGTGGAAAAGTAAAACTAAAGTACTGTCGGAAATGCTCGAAAAATGCTTTTTGACTTATATTTAAAATTCAGAGCTATTACAGTTACTTAAATAACAAATATCACTTTAAGAAACATCTACCTAATGTAGACCGAGGGAATAAATTTTGAGATATGCCCTAAAATGCGTTTTTACTGATTAAAATACCAAAAACTAAGGGGTAGTGGGACGTTATTTGATACAAACATTAACTGCCTGTGTTACGTCATCAGCATGCACGGTATCGACAGGTGAAATTGACACCTGAGCACACGCTCGGGCAAAGGGTCATCTCAATAGATGTTTTCTTCAAAATGTTGAATATGTGTACGTATAGTATACGTATCGGTTATGTAAGGGATCATGTGTGTTTGTTTTGAAATAAACATACGAATTACTGTACATTGGAAAGAATCCTATCACTTGTGTTATCTTATCGATTGATTGTAGAAATGTGCAACGTTTTGATAAATGTTTTGCATGTCAACAGTATATTTCATTGCAAAAATATGGATGTAATTCGGTCAGTTTAATCTAGTTGTGAACATTGGCCAAAGATTTAACGAAGTCACTGGTGTAGCTTCTTTAGAATATATATATTCTTCTTCTCCTAAAGTTTGTAGACCGCCCGTCTAAGCACTCCCTTGTCAAAGTTGTCAAAGATGGTTTTACGTCCCGGTTTTGCTTTTGAGACGTCCCTGTCTTGTCTGATTTGTTTACAATATTGTAAACTTGTTGGTAAGACATACCAACAGCTCTACAAGTTCTGTATTAAACCATTTCTATACTAATGAAAGGTTTACCTCTGTCTTTTTCAAGCACAAAAAACTTATAAACCTTTGCAACAATCGTCTGCAAATAGTTGGCCATAGTGGACGCTGTGAGTGAGTGAGTGAGTTCATATTTAACGTCACATCGGCAATATTTCAGCCATATCGTGACGAGAACAGTTGACATTTAAATAGAATACATATACAGATATTAGAAAAACCTGCCGACGAAGGACAGAAAAACAACTAGAATATCACAGATATACATGCAAAACTAGTAATTAAATCTAAAACATTTTACCTTTAGGGGACAGCACAATATAAAAATAGGCAATAGATCGCCAACAACTGAAGGTAGATCACCATACTAGGGACCATGGGGACTTACATTACTTTTGCTACCTGCATGGACCCTAGCTGGATTTACACCATCCCTTCAGCTGCTGGCGATTGGAAGAAATGTTAGCCAAAATTAAAAGAACAAGAATACTACGTTTAAAATCCTGGCAAGTTTAAATTGACTTTGAATGTTTTGGGACTTACGTACCCTCTCAGGAGGACAATAATTTTACGCTACGTCAACCCCCTTTAAGGGTACAGCCACTAACAATCTCAGTTACAAATAGAAACTACCAACAATATAATATTTAACTATTTACAAATCAGTCCACAAATCTAATTCTTTTTAAAAATTCAACTATTAAATGAAAATTAACATTATAAAAAAGATCCTTCAATGTCTTGACATTAAAATACTTATCCCTTGTGACGGAATATTCAACACAGTCAAGCAGGACATGCTTGACTGTGATTCTTTCATCACAAGGGATGCAAAACGGAGGATCTTCGCCTTTCAATAAATATTGGTGAGTATATCTAGTGTGGCCAATGCGACATCGTCGCATAATGACCTCTTCAAATCTGGACTGACAACCAAAGTAAGTGTAACCGATATAGGGTTTTATTGCATGTAATTTATTGATACCTACTTGGGTGTCCCA